GAAGCAAGATAATTTCATGGAGGTTAGGTCCATAAAAGGCTATAGCCAGGGGATAAAATGGTGTCCTTGGCCTTTGTTTGTCAGAGGCTGGAGAGGGATGGCAGGAGACAAATCGCTTGATCATTGTCTTCGGTCCACCCTCTCTGGGGCACCTGGTACTGGCCATTATTGGCAGACAGGATACTGGGCTAGATGGACCTTTGGTCTGACCCAGCACGGCCGTTCTTATGTTCTTATGCAGAAATCCCCCAGGAGTAATTGACTAGAGCTGGAAAACTGGTTAAAGTAGATAGAACTCAATAAATACTTTCCACTTAAATATTTTAAAAATAATTCAGCCACTTCCCTGGTCATAATTTACCCACAAATAATTTAGAGCGTGTTTTAGTCAACCCTACTCACACTGCATAGCCCTTTACTTCTCAGGTATTCTAGTAAAAATCACAGGACTGTTCACACAGCAAGGTACTACTCACTGTGAGCAAGAGCAGCAGAATCTGACTACTGTGATTTATACATTAAAGCAAATTAGTGCATTTGATATTCAATATTTAACTTACATGGAGTTTTGATTGAATACATACAGGCTACGTCTACACTGCTCCTTTTCCGAAAGGGGCATGCTAATTTTAAACTTAACCTCCTTTGAAGTAGGAATAAGAGATCCTCCGGAATAGGGCTTTATTCCGGAGGATCGGGCCAGTCTAGACGCTTTTTTCCGGCTTATCTACAAGCCGGAAAAAAGCGGTGGACATCTTTATTTAAATCCCGCGGGGGATATTTAAATGCCCCGCGGATTTCCCTATTCTGAAATTTAAAATTAGCATGCCCCTTTCGGAAAAGGGGCCAGTGTAGACGTAGCCATACAGTAATAGGTTACATATTTGTTTGTTCCCTAACTCTAAGGCTACATCTACATTGCACCTCCCTGCGCAAAAGCCTATGCAAATGAAGTGCAGATTAGAATATTGCGGCACTTCATTTGCATAATTAATTAGGGTCCATTTTTGCGCAAGAGGCTTTTGTGCAAAAAGGAGCTGTTTAGACGGCTCCTTTTTGCGCAAAAACCCCCTCTTGCACAAGAGCCATTCTTCCTCAAGGAAGCCTCTAGCACAAAAATAGCCCCTAATTAATTATGCAAATGAAGCGCAGCAATATGCTAATTCATTTTAAGGAGAGATCACTCCCATGCAAACCTCCATTCCCTTCTTTTCAGAGACCTGCTACTCAACCCTTTTTTTCTTCCTAGCACTGCAGCCAGTCTCTATGGTAACAGCTGGCAGCTACAGAAGAGGAAACCAGCTGCCTTACAGGAAGAGAAAGTAGTATGTCTGGCAGTGAGAGGAATTACAACTTGTGCCACATAACCAGAGAAGAGAAACTGGGCTGTAGGGCCTGGTTTACACTAGATTGGGAAGGTCATCTTAAAGCATGCAACTCCAGCTATGTAAAACATGTACAGTAAACTTCCGATAATCCGGCACCTTTAGGACCCAGGGGGTGCCGGATTATCAGATATGCCGGACTATCAGAAGGGGGGGCAATGAGGGGTCTGGACTGGGATGGGAGGGGATGCCACCCCAGACATCTCATAGCCCCCCCCTTATGATAGTCTCGCTCTGCCCCAGGCGTCCCCAAGAGCAGCTGGGGGGCTGCCAGGCCACAGGATTCAGCTGCTGCTGAAACTGACCAGCAGCTGAATCGGGGAAGCCGGGAGCAGAGCAGCTGGGGGGCTGCCAGGCCACAGGATTCAGCTGCTGCTGAAACTGACCAGCAGCTGAATCGGGGAAGCCGGGAGCAGAGCAGCTGGGGGGCTGCCAGGCCACAGGATTCAGCTGCTGCTGAAACTGACCAGCAGCTGAATCGGGGAAGCCGGGAGCAGAGCAGCTGGGGGGCTGCCAGGCCACAGGATTCAGCTGCTGCTGAAACTGACCAGCAGCTGAATCGGGGAAGCCGGGAGCAGAGCAGCTGGGGGGCTGCCAGGCCACAGGATTCAGCTGCTGCTGAAACTGACCAGCAGCTGAATCGGGGAAGCCGGGAGCAGAGCAGCTGGGGGGCTGCCAGGCCACAGGATTCAGCTGCTGCTGAAACTGACCAGCAGCTGAATCGGGGAAGCCGGGAGCAGAGCAGCTGGGGGGCTGCCAGGCCACAGGATTCAGCTGCTGCTGAAACTGACCAGCAGCTGAATCGGGGAAGCCGGGAGCAGAGCAGCTGGGGGGCTGCCAGGCCACAGGATTCAGCTGCTGCTGAAACTGACCAGCAGCTGAATCGGGGAAGCCGGGAGCAGAGCAGCTGGGGGGCTGCCAGGCCACAGGATTCAGCTGCTGCTGAAACTGACCAGCAGCTGAATCGGGGAAGCCGGGAGCAGAGCAGCTGGGGGGCTGCCAGGCCACAGGATTCAGCTGCTGCTGAAACTGACCAGCAGCTGAATCGGGGAAGCCGGGAGCAGAGCAGCTGGGGTGCTGCGGGGTTGGTCTCGTAGCGCCGCCCCTCGGCGCTGCAGTACCAACCCTGCAGCACTCCAGCTGCTCTGCCCCAGGCGTCTGGATTCAGCCTGATGGTGAAACTGACACTGCTGGTCAGTTTCAGCAGCAGCTGAATGGGGGAAGCCTGTCCGGCTGCCCCAGCACGTCCGGGTTCCTGATGGTGCCGGACCATCAGGAGTCCCGGAGCATTGGATGCTAGACTAATGGAGTTTTACTGTAGTTGGAGTTGGCTTACCTTAAGCTGAGCTATGGCTGTGTCCACACTGCAGGAGGCTGATGGGAGCACTTTCCTTACTCCTCCTTAAAGGAGAGGTATCAGATGCTAGCAGGAGCTGCTCTCAGTGTTCAATTTAGGAATCTATATTAGATCAGCTAAATCAAATGCCAGACAATTTACCTCCAGAGCATCGATCTTCCAGTAAGTATAAACATGCCCTCAGTGTAAATCAGGTAATGTAGCTGTTGCTACCTGGTATAATGGTCTTTCTACCTCCCTTTCTACTCTGAATGGGAGCTAGAGTAGCAGTTGTTGAATCTGAGGTGGGGTTGAAACTTCACTTTCTGATTCCTAGGCAGTTGTGGTGATAGAATAAGTGAACAGAGGCTAAGTTACAATCAGTGCTCCATGCAGCTTCCATGTAAGCCAGCCCCGTAGAATTCTACAACTTTAAGGAGTCATATAGTGGGAAGGACTTAAAGGGCCTGAAATTTTGCACTGAACATTTAGCTTTGTGGCAGCCTTCATAGCTGCCCAAGAGAGTGCACACTGCGACTTCCAAAATGCGCCGACTGTCACGCCTGCTCCCCAAGGAAAATAGCTAAGCAGATTCATCATTGGTAAATGAAGTGAATATATAAAAGGAGGGAAAGTAATTTTTGGTTTTCCATTGTCACAATAACTTGAGTAGGAATATAATGCATGTAGGAACACAGAGTGCAGCAGGCCCACCAAGGCAACTGCCCCAGGGCCCAGGCTATTTAAAAAGACCCAGGGACCTCAGCCACTGATGGCAGTGCAGCACGGCTAAGGCAGGCTTTCTGTCTGTCCTTGCTCCATGTCATTCCTGAAGCAGCTGACATGTCCCTGTGGCCCCTAGGGGTGTGTGTGTGTGGGAAATCACCGCAAAATATCCACATCCCAAATGCCAACTCTGCAACTCCCATTGGCAGGAAACGTGATCAATTGGAGCTGCAGGGACACTGCCTGTGGGCAGCAGCGACTGGAGACACCCTGGCCCTCCTGTGCTTAGGAGCCACTGCCAGAGGGGTGTGCCAGTCCCTTTCGGGAGCTGCTCAAGGTAAGCGCCAACCCACTGATTCACTCCTGCACCCCAACTTGCTGCCCCAGCCCAGAGCCCACCCCCTGCAGCCCATCCTGCATCCAAACTTCCTTCCAGAGCCCACCCCCTGCATCCAAACCCCCTCCCAGCGCCTATCCCTTTCTCCTCCTCTCCCCTGTACCAAACCTCCTAGGAGCTGAGAAATGTCACCCCTTCCAGAGATCCACCTGAGCTGTGTCATCCAGAGACTGCACCCCAAACCACATCCCATGTTCCAACCCACTGTCCCGGGCCTGAGCCCCCTTCCACACCCAACTTCCTTCCCAGAGCCCACACCACCTCCCATGCCCCAAGCTCCTTTCCCAGCCCAGAGCCCCATCCTGAACTCCTAATTTCTGGCTTCACCTCAAAGCCCTCCCCCCCAGCTACGAGCTGTGTCATCCAGAGACTGCACCCCAAACCACATCCCATGTTCCAACCCACTGTCCCGGGCCTGAGCCCCCTTCCACACCCAACTTCCTTCCCAGAGCCCACACCACCTCCCATGCCCCAAGCTCCTTTCCCAGCCCAGAGCCCCATCCTGAACTCCTAATTTCTGGCTTCACCTCAAAGCCCTCCCCCCCAGCTACTGAGGTCACCCCCTTCCGCTCTCCAACCCCTACCTCTCCCCCCCACCCCCTACCTCTCCCCAGAGCCCTCTCCTGCATCGTCAATGCCCCGACCCCTGCCCCACACCAGAGTCTGCACCCCCAGCCAGAGTCCTTACCCAGTGCCTGTGAAAACCAGATGCCCCAGCCCCATGCCCCAGTCCAGAGCCCCCTCCTGCATCCCAGTTCACTGAGCGAGCCTAGTGAAAATGAGGAAGTGAATGAGGGTGGGGAGAGCGAGCAACAGAGGGAGGGGTGATCGTGTGAGTGGGGGCTGAGCCTCGGAGAAGGGACAGGTTAGGAGAGTAGCCTCAGAGGAAAGGCAGAGCAGGTGTTGGGTCAAAGGAGTTCAGCTTTGTGCATATAGAAAGTTAGCAACCCCATCCATGTCTCAGGAAGACATATGCTCACCTTTAGTGGAAACTGAACAGTAAATACACTGTTATACAGCAATGGCCTTAGTTGCCCCACCTCTTTTTGCAACATGATGACAGAGTTTTCATAGCAGGCCTCGTGCCAGGCCCTCTACGTGGGTGGAAAAGTGTCACAATGTTTGCTCAGAGTGGGAATGGCAAAGGCACACTCAGTATTTCCCCTGCTGCAGGAGAGAACCCGCCCGCCCGCACGATGCTGCAGTTTCTGGTAAGTGCCTGCAAAGCCCCTCCACGTGGCGTGTCCGACCCGCGCCCCGGCTGTGCGGGAGGAGGGGATTATGCACCGTGTGGAGTGGTTGCTCAGAGCCGGGAGAGGCCTGGAAGAGCAGCTCCCTTTCTCCCAGCCCCCTGGCGAGGGAGAGGCTGGGGCTGGGTCTGGGAGGCGGGCAGCTGAGACCCAGCCATGGATTCTTTGTGGCTGGCTTGGGGCCCTGGAGCTGGTTACATGCTTTCAGCTGAAAAGCACACGCCTGACTTGAGACGGAACCGTCAGTCCCCTTGCTGAGGGGATGGATCCTTGCCAAATTTCGTGCATTGATAGGCCTGGGACCTTGTCTGCAGCTGCGGCCCACTGACTACATTTATGGGGTCCTCTGGACTAGCATAAAAGCCTTTAAGGGTTATCTAGCACGTTTTAAAAACTTCAGTGCTGGCTGGGAAGATTGTATTTTGTTAACAGGCTAGCTAGGTGAGATGAAGCCTACTCTAAAATGGAGCCAGCCAACCTTAAAATACACATAGCCCTGAAATGCTCTAGGGTTATTGTAGGGCTTTTTCCTCTAAAATTGTTCATTAAGTAACCCTTTAAAAAAAATTTAAGTACCCCCAGTACCTACAGTTTTCAGACAGTTTTTTTTCTACCGTTGCAACACATTTGTTTAAACAACTTAATCGTAGCCAGGCAGGCGATGAAATTTGAGTGTAAAAAATACAAAAATAATAAAGCGCTGTAAAACTTAAAACAAAAATTCATTTTTCTCCAAATTTCAGTTGTTGACTCACTCCCCTCCCCAGACTTCTCTTGAGTACTGTACTCCTAAGGGTACTTGTATCACTGGTTGAGAAACACTGCTCTAGAACTTCATCTGTATGGTTATGATTTGCGATATGTCCTCACTGTATAGTTAATTCAAGTTATCTGCACTCAGGTTATTCCTCTTGAGTGACAGTAGTCAAACTGCAGTGCAGGGTGTCCCCAATATACATCTGTTCCACACTAAAGTAACTGACACTTGCAGGACCTAATGTGTTACAAGTCCTCCCATTCCCCACTCTTAAGTAGTGCAAAAAAAATTGTGCAAATGGAAGTCAGCTGCAGGGGGAAAAAAACTTCCCACTTTAAGTTGTTTTGCAATAATTCCAAGTTTTTTTGGAATGAATACAGCCTGTATAACCCTTGGGTTGCTGTGTCCCCTCCGTACCAGTGCTGCATTCATTTGTCTATGGTGCTAAGACATCCGGTGGCACATCCAAGGGTATTTAACCCCGCCTTAAGCTGAGCTGAGCCTGTCTAGTTTTCTGCCAGTTCATCTGTCTGACTCTCAGCAATCTGTCAGGTAGATTACCTCAGAAGAATTGGATATGCCAGTACTTCCAGGGTCCACAGCTCCATTCTTTGACATCTGTTAAATATTATTCACTGCACCAAAGGGTTTTTTTCTTTCAATAAAAATTATGCACACATGCAAAAAGATAAATTATTTTAGGGACAGACTGTGATGCCTTTTCACCTCAAGAAGTGCCCTTCAAATCCATGAGTGTACGGTACTATTTAGTATGAAAAAATTATTACAGTCTAACAGTTAATCAGGTTGCTAATGATTTCCAACACATACAAGTGACTTAGCCTGAAATTCCCATGTGTAAAGTTGACTCACTGCATGATCAATTACAGTGATACAGCTACAGTGCTCTAGTGTCATAATATAGACACTTCATATTTTTTCCATCCATGTAATGTTTAATACTGCTCTCCCAGAGGCAGTAGCTAGGTCAGTGGAAGGATTCTTCTGTCAACATATCTGCATATACAGTGGCATTTTGATCAGCCTACCTATGTTGTTCAGAGTGCGGACATTTTTCATGGCCCTGAGTTAATGCATCTATGTTGATCTGCTGGGGTATCCTACCTCTAGCCCCCAGTATTACGTTCATATAGTAAAAACAAAAGGAGCCCTACATTTTAGTAGAAATTCTCTTTTTGAAATTGGGTACATCTTCTTTATAACAGCTGTAGACCTTGTAGGTGGGAGGGATGGGATCAGAGAAACTGGCACTTACTGGCACTGTAAATAAACAGTGTTTCACAAAAAAAGGGAAAAAAAGTAAATCCATTAAAGTAATGGAAAATTTTCTCAATTCTTCCACCTACAGTTTTAGTTATAACATGACAGTGAAGCTACACAATTCTTCCACCTACAGTTTTAGTTATAACATGATGGTGAGGCTACATAGACACTGGCCAGTCTTGCGCAAGAACATATGCAACTGAGGTGCGGCAATATTGCCTTATTTACATACTTAATGAGCTGCCATTTTGGGGCAAGGGGCTTTTGCACAAGAAGGAGCAGTCTACACTCCTGTAGAAGTATAGCAGTCTGAGCTGCCATTTTGGGGCAAGGGGCTTTTGCGCAAGAAGGAGCAGTCTGCACTCCTGTAGAAGTGTAGCAGTTTACACTTCCGGAAAAAGGCCTTTTTTTCTGATGCTGTACTGTAAGCTTACTTGCACAAGAACACGCGTGCAGTGTAGGCACCCGGCAAGTTTTTGTACAAGAACAGTCATTCTTGCACAAAAAGCCTGCAGTGTAGACATAGCCTCATTGAGTTGCTATTCTAGTAAAACACATCACTCTGATGCAAAGAATTTATGTTAATTTGTATTTCATGACAATTTTGCTCCAAAAGAATCAGTAGCCTCAAAGCTGTTTTAAGCATATTTTTAATCTTACTGCTTCTCCAGTTTGCTATGTTCTCTCTCTTTTTTTTTTCTGTTTTAAGCATATTTTTAATCTTACTGCTTCTCCAGTTTATGTTCTCTCTTTTTTTTTTCCTTCTCTCCCACCTCTTTGTTTTGACAACACATTACCTACTCTGTTGTAGTGACTGCAGTTACTTAGGTATTTGAGAGGCTTCTGGCTTATCCCAGCTCTACTCTGACCATCTGCAAATACTAAGTTGTTCCTGAGGTCAAAGTTAAACTCCTTGCCCAGGGTTACTTCCCCCCCTCATTCCCAGATCTAAAGTGTGTTTTAATTAATGAAGCTGTTTGTCTCATTGACTAGCTGAACATTCTTTAAACTTTTTTGTTTTTTCTTTTTCAGTTAATTAATGAAGCTGTTTGTCTCATTGATAGCTGAACATTCTTTAAACTTTTGTTGTTTTTTCTTTCAGTGTGTGTCTGCAAACTCTGGCAGATATCTAAAGCCAGATGCCCAACTATATGATTTATTTACAATTCTAATTAAATCCTTAATTAATCCTAATACCTGGCACTTATTAAAAGTAAATAACAGAGACAACAACATGGCCCATGCTAGAAACCAAACTACACCAGCAGTTTCTCATTTTTCACTATAGGTGCTGCTAACCTAATTTGGGGATATTCTGGATTTTTTGCTATGTTCAGACATGGTGCTAGTATGTCCTGATAATGCATTGCATATTTATTAGAAAATCAAGACTCTGGTCTCTTTTAAATCTTTTTTAGTTAGCTGGCTATTTTCAGTTCTGGTGTGTGTTGATAATGCCATCAGAGGGCCACTTTTGAATCACTTTAGCTCTTGGGTGTTTATTAAAAAAATAAGCTTCCATAGCCTACCCCTGCTCCAATACAAGATTAAAAAAGTAATCCAGTGAAAACAGTGGGTAATAGGACTAATACATTCAGCAGACTTTGGAATCATAATGTTTCTGAACTCAGCTGCCTCTTGAAGCCCCTGTATTGCAAACACCTGATAATAATCAGTTTTAATTAAGACTTTCTGATTAGTGTATGCAAGCTGGTGAAGGGGAAGGAGGAAGGGCACATTGATTCTGGGTTCCTTCCTCTTCTTTCCTGCGAATGGAAATAGTGTAGTGTCTGTCGCTTCTTCAGCCTAGCTAGAGCTGTAGCAGGGAGATAAAGGGATAATCTGACGAATTTTATATTTTTGCATTTTAGAGTCAAGTAATTGCTTGTTTTACATTTAACATGTATTTTAGCATATTGGGTGGTTGTTAGAAGCCCCTTTAACTCTAATTAGTTCTTTACTGTCCTTAACTGTCACATAACCTTTAATTGGCAGCATTTTTATTGTCAAAAGTGAAAGATTAAATTGTGCAACTGCCCCCTTTATCTTCTTTAAACCTCAGTAATGGATGAAATAACACATCAAAGTCTGGACTGAACTTGCATGGTGTGTTTTGAGCTCTGACCTCAACTAATGGGATATGAGTTGTTTATGGTGTTGGGTTTGACATGGGTGTTAAGATAATTGCAATACAAAATAAGGCTCACTTCATGGTAAAGTATTGGTCTCAGCTTTGGATTCAGAATGTATTTTAGGCTAAGAGCAATAGAATTAAGGCATTAATCCTTTTTTAGGAGAAGAAATCGAGAGAACTTTCTTAGTAAAACTATTTTGTAAGGGATAGACTGAAAGGTTTCCCCAGTGACTAGCACTATAAGCCAGTCTTTGCAAAGAGTCTCTGAAATTCTCAACTGAGAGTCTCTTGCTTGCCTTTTTGGTGAGTTCATGGACACTACCAAGATATAGGAAAGGCCCTTCTGCTGTATTGACTTTCAGCAGCAAGCAGGATTTAAGATTCTTTTTCTCTCAACGTAGCATGCATTAATAATATTGCATGTAAAAAGCTTCATTAATTTACAGTTGTTTGGTATAAAACTACTTTATTATTGCAAACACACACAAAGAACGCTAAATTTGTTGGGGGTGGGGGAGCCCTAAAGTTTAAAAATGGAGTAAACAGATAATTTAAATAAATGTTCTGTTTCCCTTACAGTTCAGACGTTTAGTTAAAGATAGCATCACCATGTGAAAATGTGCAACCAGCTCTATTAATGGCCAAAGCTTCCTAACAAGAACACATTCAGATTTTGGTTTTGGTTGTCTGGTTTGTTTGTTTTTAACCAATGACAGATACTGTGTTTATGCTGCTGAACTAGATAGTTGCATTCGTAGCACAAAGCAGAACAGAATATAATTTCTAGTTAGGCTTTCATTGCAAAATCATTACTGTTGCTGATTTTAAAAAAAGCAGCACATGGATTTTCAGAGATGAGTCTATACTTGCAATATTGGTAGTCAACAAAATCTTGTTAGGATTTGTACATCAAGCAAGCTTAATGTGAAATGTAATGATCATAAGGGCCAGAGTTTTACTTGGCACGGCTGTGTGCGAAGAATCTGGATGTATATTTCTGAGGAAACAAAGGATTTTTTTCTTCTTTTCTCCTCTGATTAAGATCTGAATTTCTCCTAAGTCTGCAAGTGACAGGAGCTATGCATTCTATTTCCTTTATTCTTTCTTCAAACCTCATGGACTGAAGTGACCTGTTTCGTTAGCACCCAGCAACTGCTATTCCAAACCTTAGACCTAAATTTATATTCTCTGCTAAGTATTATAACTAGGCCAACCCAGGAATCCATCGATGCATTGTTTCTGTACAAGCTCCTGAGCTTAGTAAAACTAAGCCAGGTGTTCATATTGTACCAGACAGTCCGGTATTTGCGTGCTCTGTCCGGTAAAAAAAATCAGCCAATACCGGACGTGTGCAATGTCCGGTATTGTCTAATTTTTTTCGGCTGCGCACCGGACGGAAGCCTGGTTGGGGCGGGAGGAGTGGCTGGGAGTCCCAGCTGGGAGGCGGGGCCGCGATTGCCGCTAGGAGCCCTCAGTTGGTTGAGTGTGAGGAGGAGGGGAAGCCTCTTCCTCGCTCATGCGTCGCCGGGAGCCTGCGCGGTACAGGCAGCGCCTCGGGATCTGCAAGTGCCCGGGTCAGTCCCACTCTGTGCCGGCCGATTTGCTCACCCTCCCCATCTCCCTTCCCGGCCAGCCGGTTCTCCTCCACTTCCCCTCCTGATCTTCCCTGGCCAGCCCCCCTGCACCGCCCCCCAGCTCTGCTTCCCGCTGACCGGTTCCTCTTCCTAATCTCCCCTGGCCAGCACTGCTGTATTATCTACCTGCTAACCCTATCCTCAGCCCATCTGTTTTGTAGCTCATTTCATTTGCTTGTGACTTGTGACATCCCTCAACCCCCACCCAGTGCCTGTTGTTCTTAGTATGTGTGTTATGGTAGTTCCTGTGAGCCTCAATCATAGAGCAAGACACTTCTTGTGCTAGGAGCTGTATTAATATTGAACAAAAAGACTTTTCCTGTTCTGTGCTAACCCTATCCTCAGCCCATCTGTTTTGTAGCTCATTTCATTTGCTTGTGACTTGTGACATCCCTCAACCCCCACCCAGTGCCTGTTGTTCTTAGTATGTGTGTTATGGTAGTTCCTGTGAGCCTCAATCATAGAGCAAGACACTTCTTGTGCTAGGAGCTGTATTAATATTGAACAAAAAGACTTTTCCTGTTCTGTTATGTTCCCTTGGTTTTAATGGGCTTACTATTATTTTTAGAAAATAGTAGATAATCAAGAAACTTCATAGAACAAAAGACCAAGCTCTGCCCCGAAGATTTCTTGGAACTGTAAGAACAGTGATGAAGAAAAACCTCATATTCTGGTGTTGGTGGTCTTACAGAAAGAGTGGGGGTGTAGATGAGTACATAGTGGAAGGAAGAGAGAGCGCTTCAGGGAGCGAAGTATAAAAAACATCTATGGGTTGAGCTGGTAGAAGTTTTGTGCATGAAAAAAAACCTTGAATTTTAAATTTTTAAATTTTTTTGCAGTGTTTTTTAACCAATGTTTTTATCAACATCTTTTTGAAATATTTTTTTCCCCACCAAAACCACCTGCATTCTCTTAATGAAAACAATAATTCAGAAAGTGACTTGGAAAAATATCTCCCTTCTGAAGCCTGGGAAATTAAAACAATTTTACAAGTTTTCATGATTTCCCTGCCACCAACACCATTTTTCAGTCTCTTTGACTGACCAATGTTTATACATTCTGAGCTAGTGAAGGATGAAATGTTAAACTCCTTGTCATTAATTTTCTTTCTTTTTTTTCTCCCCCCTCAAGCTTGGTTTTGCTTTCGGCAATGTGGTTGGGATGTATCTGGCTCAGAATTATGATGTAAGTATTATTATTTATGAAAGTAGTAATATTTTGTATAAATGGCCCTACCTGTCTTACCACCCAGGGTGGTAATATTTTCATTGTCCCTTTCCCAAGTAGTTGAGCTAACACAAAAAACTTGGCCAATCAGAGGAAAGAAAAATGCTGGCCAATAATTAGAGAAAAAATGACCAGCCAGTCAGAGTAAAGCCAAAAAAAATTCACATGGTCCAATGTATGGCACCGTATGTAATTGAGCAACCAGCTTGCCTGTGCATTGAACTGTCTCTCATTTATGTGTATTACAGTAATACTTAGAGATCCCAGCTGAGATCAGAACCCTGTTATGCAGCTGTTGTACATACCTATATTACGATACAGTCTCTGTCTTGAAGAGCAGCTTGTAGTCTAAATAGATGAAACAGGAGCCCAGAAAAGTGAAGAGACTTGGCCTGGAGTTAGCTGGCTTACCTGCTCAAACTGTCTCTTGAGGGAATCAGTGAGGTGCCGTCTTCATTCCACAGAAAGTGGCCAGAGGAGGAGGAGATGGTTGTAATAAGTAAGTAATTCAGCAGTCATTTATTAAGATTAATTAGCTGAGTGGAAGGGATTCAACAGGAGAGAAGGAGATATGCAGATGTGGGGCTATTCCATAAGCCAGTGGTTAGGGCACTCTTTTGAGAGGTGGGAAACCTCTGTTAAAATCCTTTCCAGAGAAGGAAAACAAACCTGGGTCTCTCACATCTCAGGTGAGAGCTACTACCACCACCTCCTCTTTCAACTGATTTTTGAATGACTCAAGCAGATAGACAACCTCTGAGCACTGTTAAGAGATCTGACTACTCTGGCAAGTTAGTTGTCTGAACTCCTATTGCATTTTGGTTTGCAAATCACTCTGGGGCTTAGGTATCTAAACTCAGAAGGACTCGCTAGTGAACTTGTTCAGAGGCAGAAATGTAAGCTCCTGAGTTTTTGCAGTAAAGTGTTCCTTAGGCAGAGTATGAGTTTAAGACTATAGACTTCAGAGGAAGTTTTGTGCATTGTAATAAAGCCAAAACTAGGACTTAGGTATCTGAGTCTGGGCTTTAAGAACCTACAAAACTTTGTGGATATTATACTTAGTCTTTTTAATTTTAAGGTAGCATTTGTGGCACACGTAAGAAATATTTAAAATATGATTATTAATTGTATAGTAGGTGTTTAATTTTAGATCTGCTAAATCCTGAAAACTACAAGCACGTGATTAGCCAAGGTCACACAGCTGGTCACTAGTGGGTACGTCTACACGGCACTCTTTTTTCGAAATAAGCTATTTCAGAATAGTTATCCAAAATAGCACGTCTATACTGCAGGGAAGCCTCAAAATTAGTCCGAGGCAGGCTTCCCTAATGTAAACGTGCTAGCTTGATTTTAGAGCCCTAGGAGGCACTGGGGAGGAATATTTCGACATAACAGCGGTGGAGCGGCTATACACGCCTGATTTCAAAATTGTTATTTCGGAATAGGCATTAATCCTCGTAAAATGAGGTTTACAGATTTCAGAATGAGCCATTTGTTATTTCAAAATAATTTTGAAATAACAGAATGGCTGAGAGACACTCACATTGTTATTTTGAAATAACGCTAGTTATCTTGAAATAATTGTGCAGTGTAGATGCACCCTGTCAGAGCAAGGCTTAGAACCAGTTCTCCTAACTCCCTGTTCAGGGCCTTGCCCTGTAGGCCAGTGTTTCTCAACCAGTGCTACAAGTATCCTTAGGGGTACTCGAGGAGTCTGGAGGGTGAGTCAACTGAAATTTGGAGAAAAACTGAATTTTTGTTTTAAGTTTTATAGCGCTTTATTATTTTTTGTACTTTTTACACCCAAAAATTTAATTGCCTGTCCAGCTATGATTGAGTTGTTTAAACAAATGTGTTGCAATGGTAGAAGAAAAAATGGTGTGTCTGAAAACTGTAGGTACTGAGGGTATATCTATATTAGAAATGTTACAGCAGTGAGTATATCTGAAGGGCACTGAGAATACATATTTACTACAGCAATGTAAGAACCCTCCTATTGCTGAGGTAAAAATTCATCTTTTCCAAGAGGTGGCTGCTAGGTTGACAGAAAATTTCTTCCATGTAACTTGGGGTTATGTCAGCCTAACTGGGTCTCTCAGGCATGTTACACTTTCACATCCCTATTAGGGGTATGAAAAATTAACAAGGTACACAGTTAACCAATGGCTCATCGCTTAACTTTCACAGTTACACACAGGTTCCCAGTGTGTACTGCTGAAATTTTCAGTGGTTACATGTACCTCAGTTTAAGCAAGCGTCACTGATGTCAACAGAACTACTCAGAGGGTTGAAGGCATATGCATAAGCAGTTGTATGATTTTGGCCAACACGTGAAAAAGCGAAATGTTGAAGCTTTTGAATTTTATTAGAAAAAGATATAGTTATAGAATTTTAAGAGCCTGGTGGCTTTTAATACAATTAAAAAGCAGAGACGCAGCTTCTGGGGCTGGGCTTTTAAATAGTCTCCTGCCAGCACTGGCTCCTGCTCCCCTTCTCCTCTACCTCTCTGATAGAGGCAGCAAGGAAGAGGGCAGGAAAGCAACTAGTAAAGTCACTACTTGAGTACCGGATAAACTTATTGGGTAGAATCAGAGCTTATTGGGTAGTCAACTAGTCATTTACATCCCTAGTGAATGGTGCATATAGGATTGCCAGGTGTTTGGCATTAATTGGACAGTCTGGTATTTTTGCTTTCTGTCTGGTTTAAAAAATTTTTTTTTCAGAAAATACTGGACGCCTAAAATGTCTGGTACTTTCTGATTTTTTTTTTTCCTGGCCAGGAGGCAAAAATCCCAGATTGTCCAACTCAATACGGAGGCAGCCTGGCAACCCTAGTGCTTACCAGGTTCTGCAGGGGAGCTGTCCAGCCCCGCACAGGAAGGCAAGATGGCGAGCAGCTGCCAGCAGCCTGTTAAGGCCAAAAAGCCTCATCAGGTGTTTCTTAAAGGGGTCACATAGGCACTTTTTTTTTTGGTTCGGTATTTTTTCTGAAACCATTTGGCAACCCTAGGTGCATATGTAATTAATGAAACCATGATATAATCATTTTCCAGCGGCACAACTGAAGTGTCACCACAAGAGGGAAACTTCTGCTTTTAATTCATAGAAAGTTCTCCCTTGGTGATATAAAACTAATTTGTTAGCACAAACCAACTATTTGATATGGTATCTCAGATGATTTTCTACATGGTTGATCATAAGAGCCCTAATTATAGAAATGGGTGATAGAATTAAAATATAGGGTTTTCTTTTCTCTTCAAGAGTAAAATTTGAGACAAGAAGCTCTTTTAGGGATATGCTCAAGAGTAAATTAAACAAGGAGTTTAAGACGCACTATCATTCCTGCAGATGCTGCAAAACAGTATAAAGGTAATTCAGCATAGAATTCCTTATAACAAAATTCAGAAGCTTCAACATTCTGCTTTTTCACATGTTGGCCCCAATCGTACAACTGCTTATACATGTCCCTTCAAGCCTGTGAGTAGTTCTGTTGACATCAGTGATGCCTGCTTAAACTGAGATACATTATAAACAGGGCTCGACAAACTATGTAATCTACTCACCCGTGGCGAGTAGATTACAACCTGAAAGAGCTGGGTTTGGGCGATCTGTGCATGCACAGATCGCCGTACAGCGCAGCTGGTGAGCGGGGCTCGCCACGGCTTGGTGAGCCCTGATTATAAGTGTGTGCAGCTTTGGGCTCTTAGTTCCTATTTTTCAAGATTGGCCCAGTTCTCCCCCCAAACCTAGGGTTGTCAGATGGTTTCAACAAAAATACTGGACACACTTGACATTACATCACAATCTACATTACATCTTCTTTAGAAAATACCGGACATTTATATTTTCTCATTTATATTTTCTCAATTTGTTTCCCGAACAGGAAGCTCAAATATTGGTCTGTTCGGTTCAAAACTGGACACCTGGCAACCCTACCCAAACCCTGCTATACAGAAACACCACTACCTTACACACGAAAGCCCACCTGACATTTTTCATATGTCTAACCTGAGCACTCAAGTCATGATTTAAGTCCCCCAATCATTAAATTTGGCTTTAAAAATCATGACTAAAAAAAATGCATTTTGGGGATATTTTTTCTTTGCCTTTGGTGGTTTCCTCCACTTTCAGTCTCCACTTTCATTCTAGTTGTGTCTCATCTTCAAGCAGTTTTCTGCAAGCATGAGGGCTAGAAGCTGTGGCTTTGAAGGAAAGCTAATATATCTTGCTGGATTGCTATTACAATAAAGCATTGGCAGCCTGGCATCTCTCATTGGTTCATTTTCAGTCTTAAATGCTTCTATTTTTAAGGGGTGTTTTGCAAATCTGCTTGATCTTTAAAACAAATGCTTATTTTTTCCCCTTTAAAGTGTGAAATTTCAAAAAATTGCAGAGTTCAGTGCAAAAATTATAGACATTTTGGAGGCTACAAAACAGCAAAATAAATACTTTTGATATCGCTCAAAAATACTTTCCTCCTTTTGCACAACACTCTTTGTAAGTTAACTAAGACTAAAAGGAACCAATATGTTCATGTGCTCTGACTTTGTACATTTTACAGACCACAGAAATTCTCTTTATACTTTGACATTCCTGGAAGAATGTGTTAATATTATTGAGTTTGTTTTCTGTGGCCTTCTCTTAGGCCATTCATTTTTCTTCCATTGAGATAGAACATTTGGAGGACCAGCTTTCCTATTTCAGCTTTTTATAAACACTTCTTTGCCCCTACTCATGGTACTGAGCATGTCTCTTGATTATGGCAGTATTTCCCAAATAGTGCTCCGCGGAACCCTGGGTTTCCGTGAAGTAGGGTTGCCAGGTGTCTGGTTTTCACCTGGACAGTCTAGTATTTGTGGCCCCTGTCCAGTTTATTTAAAAAAAAAAACCACAGAAAATACTAGATATGTAAAATGTCCAGTGTTTTCTGTTTCTCGGACAGAAGGCTGGCGGGGACATTGTTCCCCTAGTGTGTGGGGGGAGGGGAGCGGGAAGCATGTGGATTTAAAGACACAGTGCCCCCCCCTTTTTTTTGCTCAACAACTTTGGTCCCCTGGTTTTCCCGGCTTCTCCCCGCCCAATCAATTTTTTTTTCCCCTGCCATGTTTGGGATTTTTTGTGAAAGTATCTGGCAACCTACCGCGAAGTGAAAGTAAGGGTTTCACAAGAACCCGATCACCCCTCCTCCCCCAATCCCTCAGAGCTGGTCTTAGGGGCGGGTGAGCTGGGTGGTTGCCTGGGGTAGCCATTTTCAAGGGGTTGTTGGGGGCCCCCCCAGCGTGATTTTTTTTTTTAAGAGGGTTCCGTGGCCAAATAAAATTAGGAAACACTGGTGTATGGTAATACTGTGGATTGGGTCTAAGGACCAAGCTTTTTATTTTTCGTGTAAACTTTACATGAAGTATTCTTTCTGCGTTCCCTCATTAGTCAACTAAACACTACTGCTAATGTCTAACTCTTTTTTTTCCTAAAAAATATAAAAGATTCCTGACCTTGCAAAGAAACTTGAAGGTATTAAAAGAGATGTGGAAGCTAAGAAGAAACCTCCCAGTGACAAATCATAAACCACTGATGTTGCCTGGATTATCTCCACACAAACTTTAAGGATGGAATTCCCCTTCAAGCTGCAACATCAAAGTAGAAGTGTGGCTTTTGAGGATTTCCTCCACTTTCAGTCTTCCAGAATCTAGCAGTCCGGAGCTGAAGCACAGTCATGAATGTGTGGTGAGACCGAACATCCAGAGTTTCAGGACATCTGATTCTGAGCTGAAGAGTTTGGATTTCATGCTGTTACCTAATATTTTATTATGAATTTTTATATGGCTCAGATGGAGACCACTGCATATCCTGCCTGATGCTTTATAGTGTTAATACTTAAAATGCCTCAAAAGAAATTAAAACAAATGTATCTGGAGGTCACTTATGAAGACTGTTTTTATTCTGATCTATATTACTTCATTGTCCTTTCTTTGAAACCTCCTGTTTGGAACAGGATCATGCATAACTTTAGTTCTGTGCTGGAGATGGAGCAAGAGCTTTTTGAGTGTCCACTGAATTTACATGTAAAGTCTGTTTCTATTGTAGTTCTTACCTTCTTTGTGGACCTGTTATTTTTTGCACAAAGTGAATGAAAACATGCCTGACTCAAAAGGCTATAAAAGGTTACCATTTTCAAACTATAGGTATGTCTACACTACAGAGTTTTGTCGGAAAAATGGCCATTTTTCCAACAAAACTTGTGGAACGTCCACAGTGCAATTGCATTCTTCCACAAGAAAATCAAAAGAAAAGAGGGGGTTTTCCAGCATTGGTAATCCTCATTCTATGAGGAAGAAGCCTTTCTGTGAAAGAGCTCTTTCGCAAAAAGGCATGTGTGGACGGGGAAGAGGGAGTTCCTTTGGAATAAGAGGAAAAAGCACAGGTGCCGTGGTGGCCACTCCATTCATAGCAATTACAGCTTACATGCGAAAGAGCATCCATTCAGTCTGGATGCTCTTTCAAAAAAGCAGATCACTTTTTTGATGCACTTTTGCAGTGTGCACACTCTCTTCAAAAAAAAAAAAAAGCTTCTTCCGAAAGAAGCCTGTAGTTTAGACGTAGCCTACATTTTTACCTTTATTTTTTCCCCTTTCTCTGCTCTGTTCCATTCCGTTCCAATATTTCCCCGTCATTGCCTTACTCATTTCACGTTCGCTCCTTTCCCTTCTCTGGGACACCTTCAGCAAGCCCAGCAATTGACAAAGTAAATTTGACTCACCTTTTAAAGATAGTTAAGTGCATAGCCCTTCTGCACCCTTCTCTCTGCTGTCCCTAACAGCTCTCTCTCTCTCTCTTTTTGTTTATACCCATACTTAAATAAAAAAACCCAACACCTATCAGGTACCTCTGCTCAGGTCTGCTGCAACAACTGTAATAAATATTAACTTCTTCATATCTGTATAATGTGAGGTGGAGGAATTACCCCCATTTTACAGATGGCAAATAGAGGCACAGAGAGATAAAAGCTCATTTTTGAGAGGTGTCCCCTAAGTTTGGGCACCCAGCTTGAAACACACAAAGCTTTATTTTTTCAGAGTATTGAGCATTTTTATAGCACGGTATATGTTCAGAATACAACTCCATGTGATGCTTGTTGGAATGCTCAGTAATTCTGTAAATTGAGCCTGTGTGTTTCAGGTTGGGCACTCAGTCTATGTGGAACAGCCAATCAGTGACCCTTAGTGAAAAGTTTGGTTCAGGTGATTTGCTCAGCCTGGCACAGGCAAGATTAGACTCCAGTTTTCTAGGGCAGTGTTCACCTAAAATCATTCTTTCTTTTCCTGCAATTCTCTGTCACTATGCACCTTCTAACTATTGAAACAAAGGAGGTAGGGTTTCTATGAATAATAGCCTCCGTCACTACAGAGCCCTTGTTCCTTAGCATCCACATATCCTCCAGACCCCTCCCATTGTTATCTGCTTCAATTTCTCTTGTATCCCTCAGCTTTCCACCACCATTTTCAGCTTCTGCAACTGCCTTTTCTCCACCTGTCCTATTTCCCTGCCTCTGCATTCAGCTCAGGGTGTCTCTCCTATTCCCAGGTGCCAGCAGGGGGAGCACTGAGAACTAGAGAAATGATTGCAGGGAAATTTCTGCTCAGCCTTGAACTCGGGGGCTGGAGCATGCTCAGAAGTCAGCACCTTATGAGCATGTAATTGCCAAAATAGCAAGTTTCATCTAAGATTTTACAGCAGCTTATAACTTAGCCAAATTTGTGCACATTTTCTCAGGAATGGCAAATTTATATCTCTGACCCAAAGGCTACCTCCCTGTCCAGTTTCAAGTCCAAGATCCTAAAATTAGAGGTTATGTAGTTTCTCATCTAAATAGTTGTATGTTTGTTTTTATAACATGGGCAGGACAACATATTTCCTTCTGATGTCATTCTTTGAAATGGCCAAGTTGTTATTGACGAAACTTTCCAGAAAAGTTGACTCTGAATTAAACATCTGGCATGAAAAATTTCTGAGTGAAGAACTGAAGTTTGGCAAGGTTATAAATGACTGAAAACAGGACATTTTACATAAAATTTTTATAGATAGCACCAACCCCATCAATAAAAATAAAGTAGATATTAGACATTCCAACAAGCCATTTACCATGCTAATGCTATTTGCTGGTGATTACCCATAGATATTCTGGTAGAAGTGGATCTGGAGGAGAAAAAGTGTCACTTATTATGGGAATTCCCTAAAAAACACAGCTATGCTTAATCACTTGTGAACTGCCAGTAGGAGGCACACATGTAATTGTTTGAGAGAGACTCACAGGGGGTGATCTAAAATCTGTTCAAGTCAATCTTGCACTCTATGTTCATGCACTTTCCCTTGAGTAAAGCATACAGAACTGGACTGAAGCTGCCTAATTTTTTTTAAAACCCCCTTTTGCAAATGTGATGGATCAGGTAATGAAGAATAATGTCAGGAAGATTATTTTTCTTCCTTTCTTTGGAACTTTAGAGACAAAATTTAGACATTCTTAAAACCACTCACACTTCTTCTTCAGCTACCACTTACAGTTGTTTGAACAGAGTAAAGCATACAGAACTGGACTGAAGCTGCCTAATTTTTTTTAAAACCCCCTTTTGCAAATGTGATGGATCAGGTAATGAAGAATAATGTCAGGAAGATTATTTTTCTTCCTTTCTTTGGAACTTTAGAGACAAAATTTAGACATTCTTAAAACCACTCACACTTCTTCTTCAGCTACCACTTACAGTTGTTTGAACACAAAATGTGAATTTAGGTTTCTTTACCTATATTATGTTCTTCCTGCTTATCACATAGAGAAGGGAATGACCATTTTGGGTTTTGTCTAATTAGTGACCACAGAAGCTGCACATTTATAGGTACAATTTGTATCTCAGTTGTTCAATTTACAGCAGATGTCAGTACATTTTCTATCAGCCTGTGAAGTTTTTCTAGTAAAGAGAATCAGGCACATCTGTGTTGCTATTTAAACTATATAGAATTATTATTAATAATAATGTTTAAGTGCTCCATAAGGTTCCAAAATTTAGCCCGTTTTACCCCAAAATAAGTTTTTACACCTGGAAAAATTGAGAGCTTGATTCCATTTTAAAACTGAATTCTTGCAATTTACTACGTAGGGCTTGCAACATTTTCATGAAACATAAGTCAGCCATGGACTACACCATATTATACTGACCTCTAACCCACAGCTACACATCCAACTGGCAGAAAATATCTGGCATAAAGACTGTATGATACATAGTGCCTGTAATGCCTTCTAAAGTAGGGTTTGGAATTGTTTTGGCCATAGTGGGGTTAGGGATGTAAGCGACTAGTCGCTCTCTTCCCCCTGCCCCCGCTGCATCTATCATGAAAAGACAGCAAGGAGTTGGGGGGAAGAAAGAGGTGCTGGGAGCAGCCAGCTCAATGGCAGGCTCCACTCAACTCCAGCTCTGGGGGACGGGCAGGGGCAAAGCAGCAGCGCTTCCTCTTTGAAATGTATATTTCAAAGAGGAAGTGCCACATGGATCCTGGGGCCAGGCAGCAGCGCTTCCTCTTTGAAATGTACATTTCAAAGAGGAAGTGCCACATGGGTCCTGGAGCCAACGGGGGACCGCTCAAGCCAGGCTCCACACAGCATTTCAATCTTTGAAGTGAACACCATGCCATGCTAGTCCTGATCGGCTAATAGAATAGTCAATGGAAATCCCATCGACTATTGGTTAATCGAAATTTAACATTCCTAAGAGGGGTTCTAGGATAGACTGATTTAGAGCATCCTTGAGACTTCAGCTGGAAGCAGGTTCCTCATTGCACTCAGGGACCATGGCAATGAGCATATGAAAGATAGTGAAGTAGGCAGCTGAATCACCAGCCAAACTCTAAAACCTCCCTTCTCTTGCAAAAAATACCTAGGATGAATGGGACACAAGTACTAGCTCCACTCGCTAGGCTTCGCCTTCTCTTGCAAAAAAAAAAAACATCTAGGATGAATGGGACACAAGTACCAGCTCCACTCGCTAGGCTTCACTCCATTATGGGGGCACAGCAATGGGAGCGAACAGAGTATAGCCTGTGTCAGTGCTTGGGGCAGGCCTAACAGCAAAGGACCTCTTCTCTGTCTATTAAATGACATCATGTAAAATTCTGGCCCAAATGAAGTTAATGTCTTCTATGGGGACTTCAACGTCCCTCTCTTACTGAATTGTCTGTCATGTGTCCCATCAGGTTCATGTTAATCTTGCCACATATTTTCTTACTATATATGTTAGAAATATGCATCTGTCTGTGAGAGTGTCTGTTCAAGAACTCCTCTGAAATGGTAAGAGCTAGGAGCACCAAATTTGGCCTGCAGCTTCCTCTTATAACTTAAAGCAAGGCAAGGTTCAGTGGTGCTCAGGCAACGGGATCTCTCTGGAATCTGATTGTTTCTCATAACATGGAAAAGGGAAGGATCTGATAGGAGGGAGTTATACTGCAGAATGACCACAAGGGAGCAGTAAGAAGAGATGGTGACCAGAACAGCTATAACTCCATTGGGCCAGCAGGGAGCAGAAGTGGAGAAAGGGACAGCTATTCTATTATATATTTCAGAGAGTTTGTCTGTGTATCTGCCTGTCCCACAGCATGAGAGCAGGCACACCTCCCCCAGGCTGCTGTGTTGAGAGAGGGCTGGGATTATCCTTTTCCCTGGGGCAGACTGAATACTGAACCTGCATCCCCAACCTCACCCCAGAACAATGATGTACATGAAGAAAAACAAAATTTACTTGACAGATAATATCTTCTTGCCTCTATATAACTCCATGGTTCCCCCCCATCTTGAATACTGTGTACAGATGTGGTCACCTCATCTAAAAAAAAAAAGTTATATTGGCACTGGAAAAGGCTCAGAGAAGGGCA